TAAGGATGCGACAACCACCATTTGTCGCATCATATTGGATGCGATAAATACAACTTCTCACACCACACTGGTGCAATAGACTCATCATGTCGCATCACAAGGATGCAATAAAATAAGACTTCAATTCTAATCCCAATTCCATCACATCACACATATGCGATAAAAATCAATCACATCGCATTAGAAATATGCGATAATTATATCTCATGATCAAAAGATCATCATTTCCATAAATTGATTATGTCACCTTTATCCCAGTATACTCAGCTCCTGATTATGTCACCCTTATTACAAGTATGAACAACAACGAATTTCAGATAAAATCACTTATCAAACTTCTTCCTCTCTTTTGTTTTGTTCAAACTCAGAAGCCAAAATTAACACACCAACTTTTCTTTCCAATTTTATAACTTAACTCAAGTAAAAAGTTAAGTAGGAAAAATGAATAATACCTATGCATATTTTTAGATACTAGAATGGTACTCGCGCAATGCAGCGAGATACATCTTGATTTTATTTCCTTTTATTATTTATCTTAGTCGATGTTATAATATGATCTTATTTGATTTTGAAAAAAACGATGATATTTTTATTTTGGAATAAAATATAAATTTGAAGAGTCATAAAATTTTGACAAAAATATATCGGTATTAGTATCAAATTAACTATTTAAAATTCCTATTTTTTGTGTAATTTTTTAATTCAATTTTTTTATAATTTTAATTTAGGTTTAATAACGAAATAATTTATATTTGGTTTAATAACATAATTTTTTATAAAGATAATAATTAATTATTTTGTTAGAACTCGATAATTATCCTAATTATATTTTAGATTTTTTATATTTAAAAATGATATGTTTATCCTCTATTTGATTATGTTTATCCGCAATTAGTTACATGAATTCAAACATGGAGCTTTAATAAATTGTATTTATGTATAATTTACTTGTAATCTTGAATTTTAAGTAATATGCATCAATATACAGTACTTCATGCATAAAATATTATCTTTAAGAGTTTTTGTCAAATGCTTTATAATATAGTATAGATAAAGGCGGTTGCAAACTCAGATATTTTAAAGGAATTTTCAGAACACATTCTTTAACTTTTAAAAAGTCTTAAAACAACCCTTTGAACTTTCTAACAATTAGACTGGTTATCACACAAAAGAAAACTACAATTCAAGATTTTAAAATCACAAATCAAATATATATATATATATATATATATATATATATATATATATATATATATATATAGAAATCATTGACCAAATTAAGATGAAATATATTTCCTTAGCGGTTAACTTGCATATATTGATAATTTTTTGTTATAAAAAGTTAAAAATTCATCATTAACAGTTTTGTTTTTAGGTTATTTAGCATATTTTTTTAATTTATTACAAAAATACCATGATTAATTTTATCCATAGATTGTAAAAATTAAAAGCTAATATTAGTTCACACACACACATATATATATATATATATATATATATATATAAACATATGTTTTCTACTATGAATCAATGAGTCAATGATATTAAACAATTTAAATTAGAGTATATATTAAAAACTAAAATGTGACAATAGTAAATGTATTTGGGTGAGTAACGAATGAAAACAAGATATAAAGTTCACATTATTTATTATATTAAAAACACTATAAACTAAAATAAAAAATGCCTACGTTATATCATTGACCAGGATCTTCCTAAATCGAAAAGTGGTGCTGACTACTGCGCTATAAGAAAATAAGTTGCGTCTTCTCCACCAACAATTGCTTTTGGCGTAGTTGTAAGCGTTTGGATCCTAACATGTGATATCAAAGCATGTTACGGGTTCGAATCCCATGAGATGCATAATAATGCCAAAGACATGTTGTGTAGCCATTGTCTTATAGCGAATATCTTGTTAGCGTTGACAGATGCTTGGGGGTGGGGGATTGTTGGGTCATTAACCAACATCTTCCTAAATCGAAACGTGATGCTGACTGTTACACAGTTATGCCTTCTCCACTAGCAATTTCTTTTGGCATAGTAGTAGGCGCTTGGATCCTAACAGTCTAAAATGCCGAAGTAATAAATAGATTCAATTAAGTAAAATCAATTTTCTGATGTTATTCAAACCTAACTTTTTAATCGGTTCATCGTATTCAACTTTCTCCAATAAGCCATCAAATTGAAATATCAACATACGTAAGTTTACCAATTGTTATTTACCTAAAGTTCTCAAGAAACCTTAGATCGATTTTAGGGTCGAATTCTCCTCAACTATCAACTTTTTTGTGTGTTTTTTCAAATGACTTTAGTGCTATGGACAAAACGATCAATAACAGAATGAACAAAATTTTAGACAAATTACAAGTGAGGTTGTCCATCAATTAAGCAGGGTCGTGCTTGGTTTTTTTTTTTAATTAACCTGGATATCCAACCCGCTATGTGAGTCGACTAATCCCAGGGTGACTACCTGCTTTGTAAATAGCCCGGAGTCACCGCTTTTGAACCTTCGTGGCCACAAGAGGATTTTTATTCCTCCTTGGATTTGAACCTAGAACCTCCTGGTACTTTTGACCTTTGGAGCCAAGCTCAAACCAATCAGACACCACCCTTATGGTTGTCGTGCTTGGTTTTAGCTATTACGAAAATTAAGATGAATGGAATTAGTCGATTTGGAGAGTTCAGTTGTCTAATTAGAGACCTAAGGATATGGATTGCTAATTTGCAGTCGTATTAGAGAATTGACACTTTGCAAAATCTGGTAGAACATAGAAGAACCTGTGGGTATTGGGCAAAATTGTTAAAACATTATAATTGCCCACATGGCTAAACTAAGAGGGAGAAGGCCGAAAAAGATCACACTAAAAATCAAAACATATATAATGGGACCCCAAAAATTATAGGGGTCCTGTTCGAAATCGTACATTGGTATAACCTTCGGCATGACCCTGCTAAAAGGTAAGAAAAATATATTTTTGCGTTAAAGAACCCACACATTGGATTATGACATGTCATAGATTTAACGTGGCGTTAGATACGAGTTTTGAGTCACAACGACAGCCGTGGCAAGCTTTTTAGAGCAGTGGATATACCCAAACAATCAAAATATGTTCAGGAATGAACAAACCAGAGTCGGTAAGTATTCAATGACATTAACCATTATTAACCGAACTTCAAAATATCTGATTTAACTTTTTAGAATTATAATTACAGTATTTGTATTATTTACAATTTATTTTTCGTTTCAAGGGTAATTGTGTAACACATTATATTGATTACAAGTTGTTTGTAGCAAAAGTATTTACGCTATTTATAACGATCAAATCAAATCATTAAGTTGTTAGAGGTATCGTTTCATATTTACTCTAAAACATTTATTTACTATTACGATACTAATAAATTTATAGTTAACGTACGTATAGAGTGAAAGTTAAACAAAAAACGCAAATATGTCACATATTAGTGAAAATCAATCCAAATCATTCAATGAATTTAATTTTTAAGTTATGGTTCATATTATTTCACATGTTCTGTTATTGTGTATGTATTTCACATATGAAACGTGTTTTCTTGTTTCTTTTCCGGACGTAAAGTGGTTTTGTATGTTTCATATATGAAACAAGATATAAAAATTTGTTCATAGATCTGAACATATATGGCCAAAAATTTGATTACCACCACCCAACTGGCCTTACACGGAACCCGCCTCCAAGGACACCAATACAAGGGGGAATTCTTTTGGCTCAGTCAGCGGCTAAAGTTAGTGGGAGGGCAGAGGGGCGGAGGGCCTGGGATCGAACCCAGGACTTGTTATGTATTTGGGCAAAGTTGCCCCCACCCCTTTTGCCAACCGAGCTACACACCAGAGGCCAAATTTGAACATATATTTACGATTTTCATTTGATTTGCAAGCGCGCTCTCTCTCTCTCTCTCTCTCTCTCTATATATATATATATATATATATATACCAAACTGATGCCAGAATAATATAAAAAACCCATGCTTGACTTATTTAGCCTACCAAGACCATGCTAAATTTTGGAGCAAGGATCGGTTATAGGACTTAAGGATGAAACTTTTTTTTTTCTGTTACAACTGGACGGCTGGACCATTTAAGACTACATCAAATACTTATCTAACATGCACCACCACCTTATATCATACAAGCCTATAGATTGGGAAACCGGTTGATTGGATGGTTCTCTGATCGGTCCGAGTCATATTCTCCAAAAGCCTCAACAGACCCCTCTGTAATGCTCTTAACCAACCCATTAAACATATTTTAATACTAACTATTTTTTACAACAATATTATCAACAATTAACAATTTCAATCGTTGGTTGTCAAGTTTAAACGAATTGATTGGCATGATACGTAGACTGTATGGAATCGAACAAGCTTATAGCATCTAATATTCAATATTTATTCAATAAGTCGAGAACATCTTCATGTAAAAACAAACGAAAAGAGTTATCAGATATTTGAATATGCACAACAGTTTAAATATTCAGATAACTTTCAGGTATTAAGATTGTATCATATGCATATGCAATTCCAAAAATGCTACCCTTCTTAATCTTTTTTAAGTAATATTACTTTAACCGGTAAGCAATCCTTTTGGAGAATTATATAACTAAGTGCGAATCGACAAGTGCCAACCAATTACAGATGTCATCTCTATACATGACACGTTCACGTTTTTTTATTAACCTGGATGTCCAACCCGCTATGCAAGCTGACTAATCCCAAGACGACCACCTGTTTTACAGGTAACTCGAAGTCACTGCATTTGAACCTCCATGGCCACAAGGAGATTCATATTCAAGGGACAAAATAGTCAAATAATTTATTTTGAAAAAATTGACAAAAGTTTAAAAGTAGAAGTGGGAAAAATTGAATATGAGAAAGTTGAGGGACCATTTATGGAACTCCTTTGTTCTTGATGACCGGCCACGAGCAGAGCAGAAAGAAGTATATATAGACACCGACCCAAGTGGCAGGGGGGAGGCCTGAATGTTTTTTTGGGGGTGAAAATCCCAACAAAATCAGTCGATAATGGCAGAAGAGGAGGTATTGATCGAAGTCGAAGCTGCTGAATCCGTTTATGGTGACGATTGCATCGTTCTTGAAAAATACCCTCCTCATCTCCATCTTCTAATCAAGCCTCGAACTGCTGAAGTTTCCTCTCAACAGGTTTCCTTTTAAGATCTCCGAACTTCCTTCCATCTACTTGTTTATATAGTCGATTCATCATTCAAAGAAGCTGTAATTTTTGTTCTCATATGGGAAAAGCTATTGCACAAGGTCGTAATTACCTGCTGAATTTGCCTTTTGTTTTTCTTTCGGAAGAATTGATATTTATTTACATAGTGGGTGGTGTTAATTTTGTTTAAACTGTTGTAATAATGGTTGCATATATTATTGCTTATTGATTTGTGTGATGATTTTGTGTAACTTAGATTGAAGACCAGGAGTTATGATCTGTATTTTGTTGTATTAGGAAAAATCTCTGCTGAATGAATATTGCTCAAAGCCCTTAGGGTTAGTAAATGAATGAGGCACATGAAGAGGGTGTGAATGACAATAACGAACTGTGGATGAGTATAGGTTGGCAGCTGTTTGAGTTGGGTGAGATATATGGAATTGGGTTTCATTAGCTATTTAGCTTGTTCGAATTTTGATTATTAGATACTTCAGTGCTGATTTGACGCGCCTCTGTTGTTTCGAGTAAGCTTGAAAGTTATACAAGTTTAATTGAGTGGTTGGCTAGAGGCAACTCGTCAAGTACCCTTTACTTGAAGTTTTGCAATGGAGTAAATATTTATATACGGAAGATACTCATGCACACTCTTCACCTTTGGTGAGGTTTTGAACTCTTGACTTCGTGGGAAGTTGGGCTCGACCATAACCAAGGTTTTAAAACGCGGAATCGGGCCTCGAGGCGTTTTCCCTCAACGAAGCAAGATGTAAGCCTCTCCGAGGCGTAAGCCCTGAGGCGGAAATATACATTACACACAAATATATATACATTTATATTCAATATCTATATCTATATCTATAATATAAAATTACTAAGGGTGCTGGTTCAGTGCTTTTGACAGAGTAAAGAGTGAAAACCCGAGATAGGCTGAGAGGGTGTGGAAAAATTGGTTGCTTGGAGGAAGAAGAAGGTCAAACCACACTTTTTGATTGAGAGAAGAAAGTACTAGCTTTTTGGGTTTTAAAATATTAAAAGTACACATTGGGGACTTCGGGCTTTAACTTTTAGTTTTTTAAAATTAAAAAAAAGACACTTATACTATAAAAGTACTACAACTGCTATAAAGCTTATACAAAAACCTAAAAAAACATTACTAAAGCAGATCATCTGAGGCGTACGCCTTGACACTGCCTCACGTCTCTTGCCTCATTGAACCGCCTCACTGAACCAAGGCGTAAGCCTCGTCCAGGGTTCAAGAGGTTCCGCCTCAGGTGCGGTTTCGGGCCTCCTCGCCTTGAGGCGCGCCTTAAGGCGGTATGCCTCAAACGATTATTAAAACCATGACCACAACCCAGGTACCGTTGGGCCAATCACCTTTGGTGGAGAGAGGAATGTTACAGGAGTTATAGTTGAGAGTACCTGAAGTTGGTTAGTTGAAGTCCCACGGAGTTGGTTAGAGACTTGCAATAGTTGAAGGGCTATTGATAGTTCTGTTTGGTCATTGTAAGAGGTATAAATAACTCTTTTGTAATGTTGTATTCATTCAAGAAACAAGAAAACCCAAATCTCATTCCCTCTCTATCCCTAACCTATGTTCTCCTCCTCTCCCTTATTCTTCTATCGGCATCATCTTCTGAATTATTTCTCTAAGCCAATTAGCTTATTGTTGCATTGGTATTAGAGCTCCTTCTTGAGCAATGTCGATTGATTTCCAGAATCGGCACCTGCAGGAGTAGTCATGGAAGAGCACATCAAATCCTTGGAGCAAAGAACACAAAAGTTTCAAATAGCTATTTATACCTCTTACAATGACGGAAAAGAACATCAACAACTGCTCAACAACTACGTGAGATTTCAATTTAACCAACTTCAACTGCTTTCGACTAACTCCTGTAACAACCTTTGCTTGTGAGTTGTGTCCAACTGTTTCTTTCTTAATTACGACAATGCTGGCCTTTGATGGTGAATTTGTGATTAGATTGCTGATGTATGTTGGTTGATAGCAGATAGTTGGTAATTGCATCATTGGATATGTCTTGATTCCAAAGATGTACATTTTTTTTCTTCATTTTCTTGAGTTACATGAGGTTTATCCAAATGGAACTTCAATGCTATCCAAATTAAAGACAAATAGACAACCATGACCCATAATTAACAAATCGTAACAAGCTTCAATTAAACATAGCAAAAACCTTAAAATTACATTTTTCATGTTGCTTGGGTTCTCAGAAGTTGTTTGTCTTCTCTGAAGAGTGTTTCTTACCACCTTCCAATGAATTGCATGTTCGGATAGATGGGTTTTCTTTGGTTGTTATCTTTTAACATTCAGTTAAGATTATGTGACATCTTATACATGAATGTATTAATCAATCTGTCTCGACAGTGATAAAATCTCAAGTATTCATGTTTTTTTATGTTTGCAGTTTGTGGAAGCAGTTATAGGGATACAAGCAAATTCCAAGGTATTTAAGGCATCTATACATGGTGATGCTATTTGCAACTATGAGATGAAAATGTCAAGATAGTGCTTAATTGTTTGTCTTATGAACACCAAATTAGATGATCATAAGATGTTTGAAACGTGATACCTTATAAGTTATAACTTAAATCACACGTGTTGTACGTTTTATGCATGTAATCGCTTTTTTCCTTTACTTTACCATATCTCCTGCAAGTGGAACATGTGACAATGAACTCTTAATTCCTAATTCAGTAAATTGGGAAAAATACTTGTTTGGCCAATCAGTCATGTAATATCGAATAAAATGATTTTTGGTTATTTTGGTACTAAACTTATTTATCTGGTTGCTATACCTCTTGCCAATCTTTCCATGTGCGCCTATCCTTGTCGAAAAGAGAACAAGAGAGCGGTGGTAGAAGAGCTTGGTTCAGCCTCCTCAGCTTATCCTATCACCTAATCTGTCTAAGGAGCGAGAGCATGGGAAACCTCTCAGATTGAACTAGGCCTTCTGAAGCATACCACTCTGTGTCCAATATATAGTCCTACTTTCCGCACAATATTCATTTGGCCCTTGAACCATCGAGTCATATTTTTTTGCTGACTTTAGTACTAAACTTGCTTATTTGGTTGTTTTACCTCTTGTTTTGATCAATAGTCCTTATTCTCCCCCAAAACTAACATTGCTGACATGTTTGCTTCTAACAAGCCTCAGTAGTTGTGTCCTTTAGGTTAAACTGGTCAACATGCATCATTTTCAGAAGTTAAGGCTCTGGAATACTAAGGTCCTGTTTGGTTTCCGGAATTTGACAGGATTTGGAATTGAATTCCATTCCAATCCTATGTTTGGTTCGAAGGAGTGCTTGGATTTGAAATCCTGGGATTCATTGAGATCCCTCAAACATGGGATTTGGAACTCTCAAGGGGTAGTTGGTATTTTGTGAGATTCCATAGGATTTGTTTGTAGTAATGGTTTAAAATATGTTAAAAACACTCTTTTTGGAATAATCAATTAACAAAAAGGTAATTTATAATTTTTATTAATTATTTATAAAGAATGGAATTCAATTCCATTTCAATTCCTACAAACCAAACATACCAAAGATTTCAAATCCTTCCAATTCGAAATCCTTCCGATTCCAAATCCTTCAACGCAATCCAAATCCCTCAAAAAGAACATTCTGTCAAACCAAACACCGCTTAAAAGAAGTAGAAACTGGATTTTGTATATGTTGAGCTGCAAGGAAAAATGTCTGGTTAATACCGATTCTTTAAGCAAAAATGTGATGTATGTTGGATTCTACTATTGCATGTAGTTGAGCATATACTTCTTGCCTTTTACATGAATTATTGTATGTATTACAATGTATCTTTCTTTTGTTTGAATTACATGTAGACACTATCAGTTTTAGATTATAACGTTTGGATTGGTCTAAATTTGTAAAATTGTACAAGAGTTGTTACAATAACCGGTATCTGTTTTTACTGCAGTATCCGGATGAACCACCAGCCATTGTGATTATAGATTCCAAGGGTCTTGATGACCAAAGACAAAAACATCTTATAACCAGTGTCCATAACAAGGCTTGTGAACTCTCTTCAAACTCAATGCTTATTGCTCTTTGCGAGGTATTTTGATAACTCTTGGGGTGCGTTTAATATGTTTACAAGACTGAACAGGACTGAATGGGATGGGCAAGAGTGAGGTAGGCTGGTGAAACTGTATAACATGGGTAGTTTAGTAGTTTACCAATCTTGTCCCATCTCCCTTATTTTTGTTCAACCTATTTTGGCGGGACGAAAAAAATGAACTTCTGTCCCACTCGGTCATGTATTGTTCCAGTCTAGTGTCACACTAAAATTGGGACAGCAAGTTCTTGTTCTGTTTCGTCTTGTCCTGTGTATCAAACGCACCCAAACAACCAAAATAGTTGTAATTTGTCTTTGTGAACTTACTGAAGCATATCCGGTCATCTTCTGCGACGTTACAGCACTTCTCGAAATATTGATCTACTCAAAATTTTACTAGGAAGCAATGGAGAAGCTCACTAGCATGAATCACCCTGATGGAGATTGTCCGTTGTGTTTATCTCCTTTGGTTGAAGAGGGTGCGTCCGATAATGCTTCACCATTTATGAAATTAATGTCGTGTTTCCATTGTTTCCATTGGTAAATCTCTTGCTTCAAGTCTTGTGAAAGAATTTGTGTCCGTTCTTATGTGTTGGTTGTGAATTATATCTTTTTTTTTAATTCATCGTTGACACCAATGCAGTGCATGCATTATAAGGTGGTGGAATTGGCTCCAGACCCATAAAGAAGTCGATCATGCTAGTTCATCTGGTCCAACTGCACATCCACAACAGATTAAAACTCAGCCAGGTGATATCATCAATTCAACTATTCAAGAAGTCTTTATCTCTTTGCACATGTGGAAGATCTCCACTTAATTTTAGAAGCAACATGTAGGGTGCATTTGGTATTTAGGACATGACGAAACAAGACAAAACAAGACAAAACAAAAATTTGTTGTCCCATGTTTCGTGCGACATTTAGACCGAGACAGGACATGACTGAGGCCCTGTTTGTTAGCAACTTAATGAGCTTAATAGGACCTACAGCTTATTCGGTCAACTAGACATTGTAGTGGCTTAATGATATAACTAGTAGCTTATTCAGTAAGTTCCTAGGGGGAGCTTTATGCAGAAAGCCACGTTTTTTCCAAACCTGCCCCTCCTAATTAAAAAACATGCCCCTCCATCTATGAAAAAACCCTTGCAAACAAAAACCTTCCAATCTATACAGACAGACTAATCTAAACAGACCAACTTTATTTATTCAGGACTTGATGAAAAACCAACCAAATAGCCCCCGAGTGAAACAAAGAATTAGGTGGAACAAAAATCCAGGGAGATGGGACAAGATTGGTAAATTACTAAACTACCCATGGCAAAGTAAAACCCTAAAACATTGCCCACCTACCTCACTCTCGTCCGTCTAGTCATGTTCAGTCCCGTCGCGTACCAAACACATACAGAAGTTGAAACTGTACTATGGAATTATTTATTTGGCCAGTAGCTCATGTTCGGATCATGTTTTGCCTAATGATCCTACTTCCCAACCAATATATAGGAGTGGCTTAACCTGTTAAAATAATGCATGATAATACTCATTAAGAAAGAATGTGCAACTAACAGTTCTGTTAATGCTCATTAAGGACAAATGGGTCATGAACAAGTGTGGAAAAGGTGATTAGAACATGAGGTACAAATACGAACACCAAATAAGTGAATAAAGCCAAACCAAACCAAACCAAACCAAACCAAACCAAAACAAACGAGCCTAGTATATCCCACCCAAAGGTGGGGGTATGATATAAGCAAATCTGGCTACTATCGGAGAGAGTGGATACCAAATAACTGAATCTAGTAGTAAATTGTCTAGAAGTATTGTATTTAACTGTACAAGGGCCGTGAGAATATTGTTTTCTAGACCATAGCAAAACTTTACCCATGTGTAATAACAAAGATAAATTGATTTATTTTGCTCCACAAGAATTCTCTATCTTGTCATTAACGGAAGTATATAAATATTTAACTAATGATTAAACATTTTCATTGAACAATGTGGCAAGTCGAACATTATATTTATTTTTGGATGGAAGAAGTGAAAGTCAAAGCTAGAGGCACAGGGTCAGTGCCATCCGACGTGGCTGACTGTAGTTAAGAAAGATAATTGCATGTAGTTTGATATAAAGTCATACATGACCATTTGATTAAAGATTTGGTGTAGCCAATCCTTGTTGCTGGAGAAAGATTTCGTTGAGTTGAGTTGTTATTCCGTAAACCTTAAAACATGAACCCTAAACCCTAAACCGTGACTCTTGTACTCTTTAAGTTTAGTCATTCTCTTGGGTTTCTTGATGCTTCTTTTCCTCGGGCATTTAAACCATTCTTTATACCATTTGACAAATATGATAAAAGCAAAAACTTGTCATCCAAAATCGCTTGCGTGGTTGTGTATCCATTGACATACAAGGTTAAGGTTTAAAAGGAAGCTAATGTTTGTAGTATCGGAACTTAGCGCTATCTATACTATACTATACTATAATGCATTTAGTAAAAACTCTTAAAACAACTCATTAAGCATTACGTACTACTTATTAATGCATAATCTCTTGAAATTCAAGTTCACAATTTATCAGTGCATATGTACAACTTCTTAAACCTCCAAATTAACTAATGAACACATAACACATTCAAATACGGGTCAAGCTTGAATACTATTCATGAGGCAGAATACTCCATTAATTTCGGATTTTTTTTTAATGAGGAATTGCATTAGTTTTTCATTCTCGGTTTACAATAGAACTTTAAATCCCACTGCATTGCATGGGTACAAAACTAGTTCTTGTTAATAGCTTGCACGTTCATTGAACAGGCATGCATAAAAACATGGAAGATGGCATCGGATTTTGCCCAGTATGCCGTAAGGTGTTCCATGCCAAGGACATCGAACATGTGCTCGACTTGGTGGGGGCATATTCTCAGTTGGTACGTCAGAATTTACTTTTTTTAATTATAATTTATTTATTATTAGCAGAATCACTGCTATTATAATCTTGAATTTTGTCAAAATTTCATTACTTTGGTGTTTACCTAGCATAATTATACCGTCTATGATGTGGATATCATCTCGTTTTCTTTTGCACTTCTAAGCATATACTTGTACTTTTGTTAGGTTGATAAGCAAACTGAGTGATTGACTTTTCAAACCAGCATACTCGTTTTCTTGTTGTTAGCTAACAATTGCCAAATGATAAATAACACAATAGTTTTTCACATTGAGCGGTTTTGGACAAGTTATTTCTTTCCCCCCCGGGGGGGGGGGGGGGGTGTTCAGCTCATCTTGCACTCACCTCTACTAATGCATGGGGCCTGAGGATATCAGCGAGGAAAATCCCGATTGGCCCCGAGGACGCTCAAACTGTTGACTTATGGGGAGGATCCTCAAGGCCTAGCCTTTGCCGGTTTAAATGTAAAAAGACCATCTTGGTACTTCTTTGTTCAAAAACGCTCATTCTTGAAAGGTTTAGTGCTCTTTTTATATTTTAACTAGAACGAGATTTGTTTGCAATGAAAAAACCAAGCATGATGGTGAAGAAAGTCAAACATAACATAGTATCCGTGAAAACCCGTCCAAAGACAACCTTATTTGATGGGTATATATGATCTTGTCTTACTCCGTCTCTTGCCAATTGGTTGAGTTGAAAAAGAGACCTAATATAGTATCGGATCATGCTTATTCATTGCTTATTCACATGTGCATTTATGATCTTGGGATAACATAACAATTGGCTTAGAGTTAGACCTAGACGCTTGTTGGGCAAACTTTCTTTTTTGCACACTTTTTGCAAGCTTGGGTGGGGTCTTCATGTGTAAACAACCGCTCTACCATCCAAGGTAGTGGACATGTCTTTATACATCCCACATTCCCACCCCATTTGTTACCAGCTTAATGAGACTCACAAGTCACGAGTTATTTGGTCAGCTATATAGACTGTTTGGCATTGGCTTAATGATACATAAAGTGGCTTATTTGGTTATAGCTTCTAGGGGGATTTATGCAGAAAGCCAAGTTTTTTCTAATCATGTCCCTTCCAATTAAAAAACATGCTCCTTCCATCTATGAGAAAACCCTCCCAATCTATATAGACATTAATCCGTACAGTCAGCTTTATACATACACATCGACTTAATGAAAAACCAACCGAACAACCCCTGAGAAATACTGAGCTTGTTTGGTTTTTAGCCTGTATACCTAAATAGTTCCAACTTATCCTTTTTCCCTATGTTTTGATAGAAGAAAGCTGGAGAATTATGAATATAAGCGTTTGTATCATACATTTGACTTTTTCAGAATCTTGACAACACCGAAGGTATAGAAAACGAAATGCTTCTTCGCTTGGATTCAGAAAACACAAGGCGGCAGAAGTTCGAGGCCATCCTGAAGCTACAGCAGGAGAACAATGGCTTGATTGAACCAAAAAAGACCGAAGTTTTAATGCCCGGTATGTTTCTTCCCCGTCCCACCACCACCATTGCCGCCAATGCCACTAGCTCAGACAAAGAATCCGCCACCGGAGAACAGGCAAGCGAATCTAAAACAAACGCTGGTGTTTCGTCGAATAGCAGTAACCATAGAAGGTCAGGGCCAAGGAGCAGGTACAGAGGAAGGAATTCAAGAACTCAAGTTGATAGACGGTGGATTGTTAAAGAGAATGGAAATGCCAAGTAAAAACGTTTCTATTTTATTTCGGGGAGTGCTAATGACACCCCCTTAGTAGGGGGTGTTGATTGCTTGGAATTTGTGCCAATCACTTTTTGTCATAAATATCAAATCAATTAATTATATATTTATATTTTATTAATTTTGTTTTATTTTATATATTTACATTAAAAATATATATATTATTTTATTATTTTTATGTTACTTTATTATTTTATA